TCTGGAAGAGAGAGTGTTCTCCGATGCTCCACTCACAGCTATAGAGTGCGCAGACGTGAAGAAAAGTGGTGTGGCTTCATCTAGTCCTTCCTAAATACATTTGCCCCCTGAATATGTTCTATCGAGCTGGTGGCTGTTGTGGATTTTGTGGGTGCCGTAGGAGATTAGGATCTGTCGAATAGGTTTTGCATTGAGGACACATCCAAGTGACTGACGTACAGGTTGAAGTGGCTTTACACCTAAGAAAAACGGAATAATTATTACACTGTTTCCATTTCGAGGCATATTCCGCGCTAATAGAGTGGGCGGAGCTCTATAAAAGTTGTGCCTCTCTCATTGGCGCGCCCATTTTCTCCAGAAATAAGATTAGGGGTGCACCAATGAGCAAAGCAGAGTAGCCGTGAGTCCCGGCCATCTACTTGTCGCGAATGGTGCCCTTGACAGTACTTTTGCATGCAGAAGACGGTAGCCATGAGAACTGACCTGGCACAGTGATGGGGCTGCATTCCGGGCTCGTCAAGCAGTACCGCAAGTCGATCCAACATGGCAGCTCGAGCTCGAGTCGAAAGACAATCATCTGGAAGATGAGCACTGATCACAGCATTCCAATGTCATCACACTCAGTACGTTTAAAATTTGTCCTTTCCACAGAAAATTAAGCCCCGCCCGCTAGCCCCACCCACCCACTCGAGCTTCCGCGCTTTTATTGTTCAAAAAGCTGCACAAAGTTAGACAGCGTTCAGACTTCGCGACGGCAGCGCTTTGATCGCGCGATTCGACGATCGATGCGCATGCTTTCACTGCATCGATCGCGTCGAACGCGCGACCGAAGGCGCAGCCGTCGCGAAGTCTGAACGCTGCCTTAGCGGGAGGTGCTCCTTAGCAGCGCGACTATGCCACACCTTGCCTGCGCTCTTCCAGCGTGACAGCATTCGAAAGTTTCAAGCAGTTCTGGCCTACAGCCGTTTCCGATGCAGACGCTGAGGCGCGTCAGTGGGCGGAGACTGGGTCTGGCGCGATGCCAACCCGTTCTGCAGCGTTTGTTGAAACAGCCGGCAACAATAGATGGGAAAAACTACTCTAAAATTTCAAAAACGGCGTGGGCTTAAGTATAGAACTATTGCGACGCAAGACGCGCTGCCGCCGTGTGGTCCCGCCCCCCCCCCCTACCGGTGTTTCAAAAATCCTCAGAGCTATGTTAAATGAAGGAAAACGACGTACAAGTGCTTTGTTGCGTCATTTGAATGAGATTTTCCGGACGATGAACCATGAGAAGGCACTGTGGAATCATCTCGTGAAGAAAGCATCGATCCAACAGCGACAAGCGAACGAATACCGACAGCTGAAAGTATAACCAGTCAGCCAGCCAACTAGGAAGCAGACTAAATGGCCAGAGCTTCAGCTCGGTAAAGTCGCACCCTGTGTCTGCTGAGCCAAGAGCATCATGGCACATTTTTTCAGCAGTGCTGGCGATTCCATTTTACAAGCCGCCATAAGTACTGGACCAATGTTTTGCTCTGAATCACAAGTACCGAAACATAAAAAAGAATCGTGAAAGGGGAGAAGGGCTTCAGAGGTTACCATTGAGACGAAGTTGAGGTGGATGAATGGCCATAAGGAATGCTTTGAGCTCTTCGTGAGAACATGGACAGAAAATCTCCTCGACACTCGACGAAGAGCAATATACACGTTCCTGAAAATCAGATGCTAATTAGGTTTTTGTACAGCCATCTTCTCCACTGGAAAGTGCACGGGAGCCGGGCTGGATTATGGTTATACCCAGGTGCCACGCCTACATACTCC